GAGCCGAGGTGATTTGCATAGCCGAGGCCTACCAATCGAGGTCCACAAATGCCTATGTCAATATATTTCAAGGCCCATATATTGTTAGCCTCTTGTGAAGCTTCCGAAGCCTATATGCCGAGACCCTTTGAAAGTGATCGAGGCTCTGTTGTACGAAGCTCTGACACCGAGGTGGAAGCTTCCGAACCACAAAGCAGCATCTTCTATAGACACTCTTCCCAAGAGATCTTCTACATAAAGATCTTACTTGAATGATTGATAAGACGTTTGTTATGAGTGTAAATGTTGAGTCTAATCACAAGTAGAGGCGGCTTAGCCAATTAATCAATGTATAGTAGGCTAGGTGTGGCTGATGCCTACAATTTGACATGTAAATTAATCGGATGAGGACACGTGTACCCCAAATCAAAGGTCATGATCTAACTCGTGACGCTATAAATGCTCCCCCATGTACCCCATAGAAAGGCTAATGCAAGAATCAACATAAGAAACAACACTTTACTCAACTCTCTCTTATTATTTTGCAACACAATACAAGTTTACACATTTACAAACACCGATTGGTAATTATTGTACAATCGATCCACGAACTATCTTGCCGAATTTCGAACGTTCCCATCCTGCGTCGTTGAACTACTCCAATGCCTTTGATCCGTCTATTTTAGACCGTTCACGTGTCTTAGCATGTTGAACTTTCGCTCACTTGTGCGCGGGTGAATCCAACATCTGCTGGCAACATTCTTTAGGGTCAACATAATCTATTCTAACTGCATCAAGCATGTTCAGCAGCACCCTCATTCCAGTGCATAACTGTATGCTTCTAGCACCTTCCTGATACGTGACCTCCTTTGATCTTCAATAGTCTTGAGCATATCTCCAATTTCTTCATCTTTTATTTGACTGGCTGTCTTTAACATAGATGACAAATGCCCCTGTTTTTCCTCCCTGCCATTCTGAAGTAAAAGCCAAGAAATTAAAAAAATATTTACATCTAGCTTTCAAGTGTTCCACTTACTTAATATTTTGTTAAATAGAACATGCAGCAATTCATACAACATCTATCAGTAGTGGTAGTCTTCAATTCATAGAAGTAATTAGGCTTTAAACATTGTTTAATCCATATCAATTATCCGGTTTCATTTGGCATTTCCTAAAGTACTCAAGCTGATTACCATAATTTTCGTTCATGTAATTAAACCACAAATTTAAAAACCACCCCAAATTTTCAACACACAACGGCCCTTTGAATTCAAATAAAAAATTAAACCACAAATGTATAATACCTTTATAGAAAGTGGACTTTCAGTGTGCAATTCGTGGTTTCCAATTTCACCTATTGCAAGCCGAATAAAAATGGATAGTCGAAATGGATTTGGGGGTTAGTGCTACGAATATTGCTTGCCAATTTCACCTACAAGAAACTGAATTGGAATGGGCACAGTTTTAATCGGACTTCGGGGTTAGGGTTCTCGGCGTGAATTCGGGTTTCAAGTTTTGCAGTAGAAAACACACTGTAAGAATGGGGTTAGGGCTTGGAGGTTGTGAAGACAGGGAGTTAATGGATTAAACCAGATGTACAACACTTACTGTACATCATGGTTCACAGCCCCCTCACAATGAGGGGGCCCCACCCCAGTTTTTTTTAAAATGTGTGCGAGCCCCCTCCGATGTGAGGGGGCTGTCAACCGTGCTGTGTGCCGCACGGTCGGCACACAGCATGGTCCGAAGTTAATTAAGGAAAAAACCATGCTGTCAAAAGCCATTTGCTCATCCTTTTAACAGATCCTCAAAATCATATGGCGCCTGCGCCAACCCCACTTGAATAAAAAATGTAAAAACCCCTCCCTCCATGCACCCCGGCTCTGAGTATCTGTCAGTTGGGGTGCCAAATTTGTTCTGGCACCCCAACGCGGTTCGTTAATTAAATCACTGCTCAACAACATTTGCACGATGTTACTACATGCTCACCCAAAAAGATATGATAACTGATTGCTCACCCACTTTTGAAAAAAAATAATGCTATGTATCGTCACTAGGGTTGCATCCACAGTCTAGGTGGCATTAAATGATATGTTGAATGAAATGTGAAATTAAATAAGTCATTTAATTTCACCAATCATTTAATGACACATTAATGCCATTTAGATTGGAAATGAACTCGAGACTAAATAGCATTACTCTTTTAAAAAAGATTACCCATTCATTATCCCTTCAATTTCCATCCATCTAACTAGGCAAAAATGTCCAAGTGGAGGATGAAAAGCCAATGTGGCCACTAACTCTATTAAAAATTGCCACATTGGAAATTCTTATATTGAAAAAGCAGCTTATTTTTCAATAAATAGAAACCCAAAAAATAAGCCAAAAATTTGTATAAGTTGCACATTCCTCAACCTCTGTTTTCTGGGTTGAAATTTGTTCAGATTTCAGAAAAAATAATTAATAATGGGGAAAATGCATAATTCGATCCTAGATTTTCTTGGTTGTTCAAATAATCAGAGCCAAAAGGCTTCAGCTTCTCTCAGACGAGACACCAATTCACCGAAAATATGGGCACCCAATATTTCTTCAAGCCCTTCCAGCAATTTTCAATCGACAAACACCGTCGGAAAATTGACTCCGACAGTGCAGCATACTTTTTTCGTTACATATATATATACACATGCACAGAGAAGACGAGATTTGGCTGCCTGCTGCTGAATTCTATTATATATACACACATTGGCAGCTTCTTAAATGTATTATATATACACACAATAACAAAGGCAAAAAGGCGGCAGGAGCCTAGAGGAAAAGAAGAGAATTGGAGGCTACTTTTGACTGGAAATTAATGGAATTATATACACATACAGGAAACCGAAGCAGTGGAGAAAATTTTGGTATATTTACACGCATAAAGCGGGAAGCAGACGTCAAGTTTGAGGGTTTTTCAATTTCTGTTTTGATTTGAAAGTCTTGATCTGAGATTCCATTGATGAGAAGCTGATTTGGGAGAAGAAGTATTGGAGGAAGATGAGTAGAATAAAGAACAATTCTGACCTTTGAAGAGAAATGGCCTCTTTAAATTTACTATGATTTTCCAATTTAAATGGAGTCAGTGACCACATAAGATTTTAATCCGCCACACGGACATTTTTGTCTAGTTGGATGGATGAAAATTGAAAGGTGATGGATGGGTAATCTTTTTCAAAAGTGGGTGAGCAATTAGTTACCAATTTTTTTTTATGAGCAAGTAGTAACCTGATGCAAATGTTGATGAGCATTGATTTAATTAACTCGAAGACGGGAGTGGTTTTAATTGGAAAAGGGGTAAGGGATTGTTTGGATGATTTGTCACCCACGTGTACCGTTTCACCACTTATTAACATCTAAGTCAGCTATCCGTCCTCCACGTGGATAGAATGACGGACGGAATCCCATCTGGTGCCCATTTTAGTGAGACGGACATAAGTTCAGTGGCCATCTGGAAGCATTGTTAAGTTCGATGGGTAAGTTGTGACATTGTATAAAGTACAGTGGCTAATGAAACAATTAACTCTAATTTATTTAGGGCTTGCTTGGGAGTTTCGCCTTAGCGGTTATCGGTGTTTTTTAAAGTAGCGATTCTGAGCGAGCAGCGTTTTTTAAAACCCCCAACCCACAATTGTGAGTTTAGTATCCACCGGTTCTGAAAGTTTTTTAAAAGGATAAGATTACGTATATGCCGTTAGTAAAGTTTTTTTTTATATTAATTTGTTTTACTCATAAGTGACATTTTACTTATAGATATTTTTTTCATATAAGTTAAAGTTTAAATAAAAATTTAAATATTCACTTAAAATTTTAAGTTAATAATTTTAATTATAAGTAACTTTTAAATTATATAAGTTAATTTTTTTCCTTTTAAATAACTTTATGTAATTTTTTTTATCAGTAATTTTTTACATTTTATAAATATTTTTTGTTTTATGAGTAATATTTTTATTTTTTAGTAATTTTTTTACATAAAAAATATTTTTTTACTTATAATTAATTTTTGATTAAATATAATTTTTTATCTTGCAAGTAATATTTTAATTATAATATAATTTTTTTAATAATAATATAATTTTTTAAAATTATAAATATTTTTAGTTAATATATTTTAATTTACAAATTAGTTTTAAACAAAACCTATTGGTCGGAAATGATTATTCTATAAAGGATAAAATTAGAATAAAAAAAGAGAAACGGCCAAAACCCCCCAAATCAGGAGTTGGGAGAATCCCTCAAATTTACACCACCATTGGTGGGTGTTTCTTAAACCGCCCAAAACCAATGCCCCAAAAAAACTACCAATCACCGTTTCTTATAACACCCCATAATCGGTACGCCCAAAACCTGCGGTTTAAGAAACGCCCACTTATGGTCTAGTGTGTTTTGTTTAAAACTAATTTGTATATTAAAATATATTAACTAAAAAATATTTATAATTTAAAAAAATTATATTATTAATAAAAATTATATTATTAAGATAAAAAAAATCATATTTTATCAAAAGTTACTTATAAGTAAAAAAATTACTAAAAAATAAAAATACTTCTAATAAAACAAAAAATATTATAAAATGTAAAAAATTACTTATAAAAAAATTACATAAAGTTATTTAAAAGAAAAAAATTAACTTATATAATTTAAAAGTTACTTATAAGTAAAAATATTAACTTAAAATTTTAAGTGAATATTTAAATTTTTATTTAATTTTTAAAATTAGATTTTAACTTTTATGGAAAAAAATATTTATAAGTAAAATGTCACTTATGAGTAAAACAAATTAATATAGAAAACTTTACTAAGGGCAAATACGTAATCTTATCCTTTTAAAAAACTTTCAAAATCAGTGGATACTAAACTCCCAATCGTGAGTTAGGGGGTTTTAAGAACCACTACTAAAATCGCTCCGCCCGTAACCGTTACTTTAAAAACCTCCTATTACCGCTCCGGTGAAACTCTCAAGCAGGCCCTTAGGGTACATATTATTATTTAGTATTTATTTTGCCTTTCCCTTCCCAATGGAGTTGTTTGCTTTTGTACATGTAAATTTGCTTGACTATATAATCTTTTTTCCATGTGGCATTTGAGAATTGGAATGAAGATATTCCTGTACGATTCATCTTCTTTACCTTTCTTTTTTCTTTTCTTTTAAAAATCAAATAGACTTGCGATTGTTCGTCTTCCTTTCTCGATAGTTGTGTAAATTTCTTTTTATTTTTATTTTGTTCAATTGATTCATGGAAAATATAAATTACTTGGATTTAAATACGCTTGCAAGTATGTTCGAGTCTGCATCTTCCTTTGTTGATTGATTGGTTTATATAAATCTCTTTTATTCTTATTTTCTCCAATTCATTCAATTTGGAGTGCATGTGCACACGGAGCAGCCTTTTTTTTTCCCCCTCCTAATTCACGGAGCATTAATTAGCAAATTTTTGTAACAAACCAAGCCAAATTCCAGAAAGAAAACGGTCTTGGTCACTGGTGGCAACCACATTTGAGGTATTGTCATTTCCGATTCATCACTTCATCTTCAATTCTTTTGCCGGAATTTTGAGGTGTTGAATCTATTGATGTATTGTCATTTTATGCACAATAAAAAAATGCTATGTGTTGTAGTTTGTACGAAACTATAAAGTTGAATATCTATAAGTATAATAAAAACAAGAAACTGTTTGAATAAGTCACAATAGGAACTATTATTCCAGAATTTTCTGGGATTTGAATGGAAATGCATACAGAAGACTAGAAGAGACTCTGGATTTCCGATTTTGGGTAATAAATTCGTGGGAACACGACAAAGTAAAAGTGTAAAACTGTATACTATACAGTATACAGGCCAAGAATCAAGATTATATTTTATTCTGGATTTCCAAAGATCAAGGTATATATAAGATTTCTATGTATATGTTTTCTTCCAGTTGTTTTAATTTCTGGGTTTTGCAGAGGGTTTCCTCTGAATCGTGTTTGTGTGCGATTTTTTTTTTTTTTTGCTTGTTTTCTTGATTTATTGTTTCCAAATTTGGATCTTGTAGATATGTATGTATAATCTAGAAGCGCCTTTGGTAGCATGGAATTGGAATTACAATTTTTTTTCTTTCATATTTGTATTGATTTTACGAATTCCTCTAAATTGTGTGAGCTTGTCTCTCTATATTGTGGGTATTAATGTAATAATATCGGCACCGAAGCGATTAATCTTTGGCGTTTCTCTGATTTATGGAAATTTTATTGTTTTCCTTGGACGTGCTAATTCTCTACTATTATGCAAAGAAACATTTTTCTGAGGACTAAAGAGCAATTTTTTGCACTCATTGTAGTTTATGGTAATATACGCTGCAAATTGTTAATGGCATCTTGCTTGTCTAGCCCGCTGTACTTTGTCGATTTATTGGAGATGGTATGCATTGCAGCTCTGGTGTATATGTAAATAAGTGTGTGTATTATGTTTTTCTAAAGATCTATGCTTTATCTCCATTTCTTAGTTTCTCAATCATCGAAGATTCTTATTTATTGATTGCCAATGGTCCCTTATAATTCTGGATAACTGTTGTCTCTAAAGCTGTGCTATTCTATTTTAAGATTGCCTTTCTACTTTTTGTTTTTGCTAGAACATCAATTCATTGACCTAAAAGAATGAAAAAAACTCATAGTTTCTCATCTTTTAAGTTGGGTTGGTCACCTGAAATATTCAGGTAAAAATTTATTATTATTAATCAAGACATATGGAACGAAACTGATCTGAAAATAATGTGCAGTCGGTTGTGGATATTCAAGAAAAGTACAGGGACTTTGATTCCGGAGACTGTTATTCACATGGGAAATCTGTTTTGCCATATCTTCAGAATCATTAAGAGTAGATTTGCGACCCCCACCTGTTTCACATCTTGAAGGATAAAGTAGACTTGGGATGAAAAAGTTTGTATAAAATCTGGTACTGAGTGAAAGTTGAGACTGCTTAAGAGGTCCAATAGGTATTGAGTGAAAGTTCAGACTATTTAAGAGGTCCAGTTTGCATATAGCTGGGTTAGTGCGTCAAGAGTTGTCATTTTCAGCTTAAAATTTAGATGAGACTAAACTTTCAATATCCATGTTCTTGATAGCTAGCAAGTGTCTTCAAAGAGTGTATTTGAGTTACTTATCTATAGAGTACCCAAGATCATCCCATCAGTACCACATACCTATTTTCTCTAGGTCATGGCAACCAAGACATGAACTGCTATGCCCCTGTCAGTATGCACTGCATTACGCTTGACAGCAGGAAAAACTGACGCTAAACTATAGAATACTCATCTGTGCCAGTTTCCATCTGAAAAATGTGCACTGAATGTTTGATAAGCGTTTCTTCACTATGGATAGACAATTCAATTTCACTTCAAGCTTAGTTATACCATCAATGAAAAAATTTATGGGATCAAGTCAAAGTTACCTACAACCTGGTTTGTTTCGAGAACTGGGACTAAAAAAAAAATGCTGAATGCTGCTTAAATTTGAAATGCTCAACTTGATTCATCCAGTAAAGGGAATGATTTAGGTTGTAGTCACATTGGCCTGATCTCCTGGACTTGATGGCTTCACATTAGCCTTTTCTGCCTTTGCTGTGAAGTAGCGGGTATAAAAAGTATCAAAGGGTACAAAGGTTGTTTTGAAAAGAGTTTAAATTATACCTTTGTGGCTTTGTTGCCTAAGACAAAAAAGGGATGTGAAGTCAGAGACTATAGCAATCGGCTTGACTGATAGTGCTGAAGTTATTGCAAAAAGATCTAGCTCTTAGGATGGAAACAAGTGTTGATCGCAACCTTAACTTTTTCTTAGGATGCCTTTGTGAGGGGCAGGCAGATTTTGGATATAAAGTTACTACTAATGAATTTTTGGATTACACATTCAAAGAGTGGTCCAAGTTGCTCTCTGAACCTGATTCTGGGAAGTTTGAGTTATGACCATGTTGACTCGAGGAGTGTATGCGTGTTTTGGAGCTAAATGAAGACATTTTATCTTTCTCTGCTTGTTTATCGTCAAATTCTCCATTTTTGTTGAATGGACCTCTTGCGGCTTTTTTAGAAATTTAAGGGGAATTGTATGAGGGTCTCTCTTATCTTCCCTCTTATTGTTGATGGGCATATAAGCATTTACAAGCTTATAAAAAAGGTTAAGCATAGGATTCTTAATTAGGGGTTTCAGCCCTTGTTGATATATGAAGTATGGATATTCCTAAGGTGGTTTGTTGATGTCAGCTTATATAGTTTTTATATATTTTTAATTTTTTTATTCAATCTATCAACAACATGAATTCACAAATTTGTGTAAATTTTTTGACTTCAAATTATGAAGTATTTAGTTATTACAAAAAAAAAAATGTTAAAAATGTCAAATTAGTTTGAATCTACGAATTTCATATTGAATTTTTTGTTTTGTATCTATCTAACATAAGTAATATTAGAAAATCCTTGATTCAAAAGGTTTTACATGCAAGTTTCAAAATCAGAGCTAAAAATAGTATTGATGTTATTGAAAAATTAAAACTAAAATTAAAGAATTCTAATTGACTTTTTTTTGAAGTGTTGGCTTCTCAGGGGCCGTGTCAATTTCTGGGCTTCATAAGTTCTGATCACGTTGATTGTGTTTGTTGGCCATCTTCGGTTCATTGATGATCTCATTGTGCTTTATAGTGACTAGAGTCAATTGTGGTGTCTATGGAATGTGTTGTGTGGTTTGAGACCTGAAGTTATATGAATTTACTATTCCCCATGGCAAGTGCTAAATTTAATGAGTTGGCAGATATTCTAGCCTTTGGAATCTAATTTCAAGTTTGTTGATATGTGGAATCCTATTGTGGAGAATTTAGGGGACAAGTTGGCTAGCTGGAAAAGTTTTAATTGTCAAAGGAAGGTAATTGAATTTACTCAAGAGTAAGCCACCAGCCTCCCCATCTTTTTCCCTGTCCTTATATAATGTTCTTGTCTCTGTTACCAAGAGATTGGAGAGGCTCTAAGGGACCTCTTTTGGGAGGTTTAAGAAAGTATCATTTAGAATTATGGGATGTTGACAGAGAGAAATTTAAATTTGGAGATTTCAGAATAAGGTATCGTGGCACTTGCTTCACCTGCAGTTGATCGGATTGTTAGGAAAACCTTCACATGGTGCTGAAAGACTGCTAATAAAAATTCAATAGTTTACCTTATTTGGTTCCTTTATTTATTTTTTTGTCTCCTTAGTTCATGTAATCACTACCTTTCTATTTAACTGTTGATTTGAAATGGGAAGAGATTCACTGAAGTTATTTGCATATTTAAAATTAAGAGAGTGTGCCAACACTCTTCTGTTTGACTGTTTCCTTTCAGTATTGTCATGTTTACCTTCTTGATGACAGCTAATTTGTAGGCCGACTCTGCACCTACACTTCGTTCTCCAATTCACCAGGTTTCCGCAGTCACTTGCTCTATTCCATAGGTAAAGTTTATTTCTTATAGGGTTGAGATTGTGGATTTTGATTTTTTTGTGAGATTGATTGAATTGAGCACATTTGTAAACTAATGCCTCTATCTTTGTTTGTGAAAAAAAAAAATGAATGTTATTTTGGGAATGGAATTTCAGGAATTGGGATTTTGTTCATGCCAATATTATTTAATTAAAATTGAAAAAATTAAGTTTTATCATGGAGAGAGAAGAACTAAAAAGAATTTTAAATCAAAAAAAGTTATTTATAACGTGAACAAAACAAATTAAAAAAAAAAAAAAAATGGAAACCCCCAATCATGGATGGAGGTATTGTAATTTTTTTTTTTTTGAATTTATTTTTTCTCACTCTATATTCTTAGGGGTTTAATTTCTTTCCTTCTGTGTGTTTTTTTTTTTTTTTTAATCATGTTAAATTTTTTAGAAAAGTAAGAAAACTTCATATTTGGTTTAGTTCAAGGTTAGAGTTGGTGGAATTGATGACTATAGCTCTATAGTCTCTTGGGTAAGATTTTAAAAAGTTCAACGATTTTCAAAATATATATAATAAAAAAAACAAATTAAACAAAAGAAAGTTACAAAAATTAAATAAAAAATATATAAATATTATCTAATTAAAATTGAATAAATTAAGTTTTATCATGGAGAGAAAAGAATAAAAAAGAATTTTAAATCGAAAAAAAAAATATTTATAATATGAACAAAAACAAAAAAGAAAAAAATGGAAACCGCCTGGATGGAGAAGGAAGATTTTTTTTTTTTTTTTTAAATTCATTTTTTCTAACTCTATATACATTCTTAGGGGTTTAATTTCTTTTTTTTTTTTTATGTCAAATTTTTTAGAAAAGTCAAAAAACTTCATATTTGGTTTAGTTTAAGGTTGGAGTTGGTGGAATTGATGACTATAGCTTTATAGAATATATAAATATTATTTAATTAAAATTGAAAAAAGTTAATTTTTATCATGGAGAGAAAATAATTAAAGAGAATTTAAAATTAAAAAAATTATTTATAACATAAACAAAAGTTTTCAAGAGTTTTTTTTTTTTTAAATTCATTTTTTCTAACTCTTTATTCTTAGGGTTTTAATTTTTTTCCTTCTGTGTTTTTTTTAATTATGTCAAATTTTTTTAAGAAGTCAGAAAGCTTCATATTTGGTTTAGTTCAAGGTTAGAGTTGGTTAAATTGATAACTATAGCTATATAGTCTCTGGGGTAAGATTTTAAAAAGTTCGAATGATTTTTAGAAAATAGTTAACATCAACAAATAGATACATGAACACAAAAACTTGTACGAAAACATGAAGTTGATTTTCAAAAGAACATCATTGAATTCATTAGTTCAGTATATGATTTACATTAGAATATCCATTTGTAATTTGATGAGTCCACTTTCTGCCTTAACTAATCATACTTCCCTCCTCTCTTAAAAGAGGGAATAATCCCTCCACTGTTCATTCACGTAGAATTTTCGTTTTCCCCATCTTACCCGCAAAAAGGCATCTTAATTTCTTATGGGTTTAATTGTCTTCCCAATGTATACAAAAATATCTTCTCTTCTTTTCTCCTGATCATTCGAAAACGTTCTTCTCTTCACTTTTGCTTACTGAAATCCTAGCAGTTGTCTTCACTTTTGTCTTTGGTTCTTGTCAACATTTCAAGATCGCGATATCGTCTTGTGTATGTGTATTAGGATTTAGGGTTATTTCTTGCTTCAGTTTTAATTTTTTCTTTTTTCAAAATATTTGTCCACTTGTGATGATTTTACTTTTGAATCTTGTATATTTTTTCTCTCTGTTTCTGAGTTTAGAATTACTTTTTCTTTCTCTTCTGGTGATAAAATTCCTTCCCTTTGCAATTTGTGTTGGGAGCAGCATAAACTGGACAGGCGGTGATGTTGGCTCTTTTTTTTTTTTTTTTTTTTTTTTTTTTTTTTTTTTTCGTTTCTTTCTATAATTCTCTGTCTCATAGTTTCTTTTTACAGGTTTTGAGATTTCCTATTCAAAACTAATAAACTATGCAGCTGACTCTCAAGTTCACGTAATTTTTTCCGTCTTCCGTAGTTTTTGGTTTAAATAACTTTCTGCATAGTATATACTATATAGTAGTATCTAAGTAATGAAAAAATATTGATTAATAATTGTTTCCAAAGAATTTGTGGTTGCAAAAAAGAAAGTGAAACATCTATATTGGTAAATATATTTGACAAAACTCAAAAAAAAAAGTACTGGATAAAGTGAAACATCTATATTGGTAAATATATTTGACAATACTCAAAAAAAAAAAAGTACTGGAATCAGACTAACTGTGGCTCATTTGGAAGCTTTTTCTCCTTCTTCTTTTTTTTTTTTTTTATTTGCTTCCAAGTAATTATGTTATGTAGATCAACTATATTGTGGTAAAAATATCTGGGTTTTAGCCTTATATAGGAAAATTGGGGAAGGGGAAAAAAAGAAGCAGTTAGCTTTTAATTGACAAGGATTCTCAACATTTTTGTAGACCAAGTGCAATCATGTGGGAATTCGATTTCTTAGTCCTTGGTTTCTTTTGCATTTTGTTCACGAAATCTCATGTATGGAAGATAAGAAAACAAGCCAAAACAAAATTATGTTTGAACTTCAAGACATTTTTTTAATTATGGGTGAAGCAGTGATTGTATAATAATTTTAATTGTAAATTATTATTGGAAGAACTATTTTACCATCTATTATAGGCAGAACTTTCGTTATTTAGGAAGAAAGTATTGTTTGGATGCCTGTAATTGCCGTGTTGGGTATTTAAACTACTTTTTCTCTATCATGACCTGAAAAAACCAAAGCCATATGCAAGTGTGGATTTTATTTTCGTGCAAGGTGATAGCTGGCTTTCTACGCACTGCATGTGAGAATAGGTAGGGCTGAATGTTTTATATGAGAACACACTCCTCGGGGTTTATTTGTACTGCCAGTAGTTGTCTTGGGCATGGGCTAGAGGTTATTTGATTATTGTAATCATGATGTATTGAAGTAATGGCTGGTCTAAAACCACGGATCCAGATAAATTGCAATATTCAAGTTTTTGAGTTTGTTTGGATGGTATTTCACATGAGAGTTGGATTTTCAACATGTCAATTGTGTAACTTCAATTATCTCTCTCATGCAAAAATAGGCTTGTGCAATGGGCATTCAGAAGGCTACCTATGGTGAGAACAGAGAAGACATAAATTTGGAGGTCGTTTGTGAAGTGTATTAGGTTAACATATATAGACAGACTTCATTATTTGGATGATTCAAACTTCATTTGGATTTTGGAAGGATGAGTTTTTGAGCTATAAAATTATAAATTCCTCACTCCAATGTGTATCTATAGCTCTTTGTCATTTACTTCTGCTTGTGCAACTCTACCTTGCAATATACTGGCAACATGGCTATAAGTAATAATCCCCTGATTCCACAAGTCCAAAATATTTTACCTTTACAAAACTACAAATTTTCCCCAGTTGTTTGTCAACATGCTTTAGTTTTTCCCTGTTCTTCTTCGTGAATTTCCTGTACATGAAAAATAAAGAAGTCTATATTAACTGAACAACAGACTGTTAGACACTAAACTGGATTCTTCTGATTGCCTATCAATGGCATTGATAGATACTACTTTTAGGAACATTTAGTAAGTTTGATGAAGCCACTAACCCTTGTTGCCACACGAATCAAATGCGCGCATTTCACGTGTTGTTGACTCTGTCATTGTATCTGTCGTTAGTTTAGTATTAGATAAGAGCATGTTATTGTTCTCGATTTTTGGGAGGCTTATTTGACATGCCAGGTTATTGTTGTTGAAAGAATAGTTTTTCATTCTGTGAAAAGTGTGGACTTAAATCAGAATTTATCCATATTCTGTAATTGTCTTCTTATTTTAAGTCCTGGAGAATATTGATAATAGAGCACCTTCTCTTTACATTTGTTGCATATCTATGGATTGATTTGTTTCTTTTTTATTTTAGTACTGCTTCTCTTAGATAGATGAGTTCCCGAATTCTAACTGGTCGAATTTTAGAACATGAACCTAAGATATTCTAATATGCCTTTTTTCTTTTAACTTTCAGTTGATATAATCTCTGCAATTGAGTTTGATCAAAGTGGTGACCACTTTGCTATCGGTGACCGTGGTGGAAGGGTGGTATTATTTGAAAGAAATGATGCGAAAGACGTGATGTTCAAAATATTCGAGTGCTAATTTATTTAAATTATATTCTTCCCTTTTCCTTTTGCTACTTATTTTGCAGCATGGTGGAAATAGAAAAGATTTGGAGATGATGGACTATCCAGGTACTCGACATTCAGAGTTTCATTACAAAACTGAATTTCAGAGCCTTGAACCTGAGGTATTTATTTCCACTTTTGTTCATTGCCTATCTGTATGTGCCCATGAGATTCGATCATTGGTCTTTGTAAATATGCTGCCCTATATATTAACAATGAAGTTGTGAATGGTCATCTTGATGTCTCTACTCTTTTACAGAACTATACACTAATGAAGTAATAACTTGTAAGCTTCTGCTTTTTCAGCCATGTTCTATTTACTGTTTTTGTTTTCTTTTTGGACATGGGAAAAAACTCTGACGTGCTTAGTCTGTATTTGTTTCATAATACAGCCGGGGACAACATTTGTGCTTTAACTTACGGTACTCTATATATTTCATATATACATTAGAGAACATGGAAAATTAATTTTTCATATAAATGTAACTTAGTTTTAAATGTTGTTTTCTTTTTGGTTTTTACAGATGTGGGTGTGGATGAATTTTACAGTCTTTGTGATTGAGGTAATTTATTTTATTTTTTTAACTTCAAATCCCTTTTTTTTTTCCATTTTTATATGAGAATTTCTTGTTTCATGTACATCAAAAATTGACTTTTCCAGTTCAGTAATGATTGTTAAGCGAGATTGATTTTTTATTTTTATTTTTTTGTAAATATGTAACTTTGTTTGGAATTTTTTTTATTGGGGTTTTTAGATTTTTACCCTCTCTATGATCCAGGTAATTTATTGTGTTCTTTAAACTTTAGAAATTTTTTTCTTTTTTCCTTCCTTCTCTATGTGAATTTCTTGTCTCATATACATCAAAACTGACCTTTTCAGTTCATAATAATTGTTAAGAGATACTGAAAATTGTGATTTTTGGGGATTTTTTTATCCCTGTTTGAGTAGCGTTTTTCTAAAATAAAAATAGAATGTTCATTATGAGGATTCTCTAGAACACGAGAATAAATGACTTCCTGTCTAAATTGAATTACCAACAAAAGTTTCTATTAAAAAGATGAATTAGAAAAAAAAAGAAAAAGAAAAAGAAAAGTGTGTTATTACAATATACCTGGCAAAGTTGAATGCAAAACTTCAGAAGCTGGACCAATAAATTTAACTCTTATCACATAAAGATTTATCAACAGATAGATATACATGGAGATAAGGTTAAAGTAAAAGAAACAGTGTTAGTTTTTTTAATAGACACTGTGAGCGAAATAAATTCCTCTATAAAATAAAGCACAAAGAAAATTGTCATATTTAATTGAGGATTTCTTAGCTGCATTCCTTGAGGTCGGTAAATTGTCAATTTCCATTTTTTGTCGAAGTGCGATTTTAAGGATTCTTAGGGACTTTCCCATGCTAAGCCTCCGACAAACACTTTTTCTCAACTGTGAAAATAAGTTGATTTTCTTAATTCGTAGAACCAAAAAGTTCAAAAAAAATGTCAATTTATGTTTATTACTCGGAACTTTTAAAAGCTTTTTTGCCAAAGACAAAAGAACTTATCCACTGAAATTTAGCCACAAAGACATGGACTCTTGAAGAAACTAAAAAAATAGAAGAGGACATTTTCAAAGGCTTGATGCACCATTATGCATTACCTTATACATACGTGTTTAAATATATCACAATAAACTGGAGTGGGGAACAAGCTTATCCTCTCACGAAAGCCATGTGTTTCAGGGTCCTCTTGTACCAAAAAAATATAGAGGCCAACGCAGGCATTATCCTGTGAACTAAATATCCTATCAAGTCAAAAGGATTCAAATCCCAAATACTGAAGAAGTCGGAACAATACAACGATTAGGGAATAATTAGTCGAAGTTGTCCATTTATTTAGTTAATAATAATAATCCATATTGACTGTCTGGGCCTGAAATCTAGCTTCCGCCAGTATTATCAGAAATTATCACGTCATTTCCTTCCAATTTGTTATTGGAGCATCAATTTTTGTACATCATTATGCAGAGAATTTTAGTAATATTTCAGGCATCATTTTAACTTTCAACTGCCCCATCTTGGAACAAAGCATAGGAGTATATAATATATCAACAATATTTTCAAGTGAAGTACATGAAATCAATGATCTCACCTCTTTCTCTGTCTGTTGTGCTAGCTCTCTGCCTCTGGTAGGAGCCAATACTAATGCCAAAGGTCCATCTCCACGCTGAACAGGAGGCTAAGCTAGGTAATGGTACAAGGATGAAAAAACATATGATAAGTTATGATAGAACAAGAAAATAAAGTGAATATCCATGATAGGGTTACATTTCTAAATAAATTCCAGATAAAATTGAAAGTGGAAGTAAAAACCAAAACCTATATCATAAATGAAGCAGTTTTGCCACTACCAGTTTTCGCACAACCTAACAGATCCCGCCCACTTAGAGCAAACTGGTCAAAAGGAAAGTTACTGAACTGACAAAAGTGGAAAAGCTTTCATGAGGTAGAACTTCAAGGCTAATGCTTATTAATCAGTAGCTGCTCCTCTTCCTCAAAGGGTAAAACCATTGTCTCGTATATTCTTTATGCATTTACGTGTATAAGATCTTTTGGGGTGTTGTACATTTTTGTATTGCGCGTGTATTCAGATAGATAAAACAAAAAGGTTTTTTTGGAGCTATAATTTTTGAAGTGTGTTCTGGATAAGTATTCTGGGATGTCAAGATTCACTCTTTTTTCTCCTTGCAAGGTACAATAGTTAAATATAATATCACATTACATCTCATTGACATCTATGCATTTTCTCAGATTTTGGAAATTTACTGTACTCTTTAAGTGCTGATTAATGTGTTCTTAAGAATAACAGGCAAATGGGAAGACTGATGGATTTACATCTAGTACAAAATCAAATAGCATTTGTATTCAATGGTAAGTTCCCAATGATTTACTGGAAAAATCTACTTTTTGTTCATCTGTTAGTTGAAAATTCTAAACTTTTGTGTAAAGATTGATCAGTTGTTACATTTTTTTTTTTTTTTTACTGCAGTTGAGGTTGTTGTAGCTATTACTTTGCCTTTCACATCCAGGTCAAATGTTTCAGCATGGCTGATATGGCTGACGAAATTATAAAGCTTAACAATTTCTCAAATGGTAGTATTCTGTGTACCCTAAAAATCCTTAGTTGTGTTTAATTTCTTCGTTATACTTCATAGTTGATAAGTCTTATGGTCAATTCTCCTACTTTTGTTGTTGCAGTAATAATAGTTCTCAAGGGGAAAGATTCCAGAACATGCTTAAGTTGATATAATTATTTGTGTGGATAGATATAATTATTTGTGTGGATAGGATATTTTCTGGTCTTCGAAAACATATTGAAATTGGAGTTTGGTGACTTCAAGTATGTTGCTTTGTATTTGTTGTTGTGCATCTTCGAGTTTTTTTTTTTTTTAGCAAAAATTTTCCAGAACATGCTTAAGTTGATATAATTATTTGTGTAGATAGGATATTTTCTGGTCTTAGAAAACATATTGAATTGGAGTTTGTTGACTTCAGGTATGTTAATTTGTATTTGTTGCTGTGCAATATATATATTGCGTATATTGTAAAATTCCAGATCTACCTTTTATTCAAAATTAAATCTATATCTACTATGTTCCTGATTTACTTTAAAACTTTAGTGCATTAATTATATAAGGAAACTTGTTAATTAGTACTAATTGACATTTCTTGCATTACTCATGAAGACAAACTCCTGAAATCTTCAATAAATATGATACCTACTCACATTGGCAATTTTTAATTTAGCCTTGGATTCATCATAAAATATTCATTCTGTTTCCCATCAAGATTTAGTGCTGATTCTTTTTAGCTTTTCAATTATTTGAATTTCTTTACACAAGCAGTTATGTTTATTTAGACATTAGAGCTCGAATAATTAGATTTGCACATTCTCTTATTTATACCCTAAAATCGTAAGGTAAGTCGATTTTAGATTTGCTTAAGCTTAGGGTGTTTTCTTCTTTCGAAATAATTGTAGTACCTGTCGATTTCTCATTATTTTGCCTTCAAGTCTTGGATATTTTCAACTGAATATTCCTTGCGTTCTTCCTGTATGTACAATTCTATCGTTCAATTAGTGGAATCTCCCAAAAACCAGAAAATTCGCACCGAAATAGGAAGCTGGCGACCTGAGGTATGTGGATTTAGTATTTGCTTTAGTTTAGGGTTATTTCTGGCTTCATTTTTAACTTTTTCTTTTTTCAAAATATTTGTCCACTTGTGATGATTTTACTTTTGAATCTTGTATATTTTTTCAACTTAATTTTTCTTTCTGTGTTTCTGAGTGTAGAATTACATTTTCAATTGAGGGAATTGACAAATTGTTTTCTAACTTTTCTGGAAGTTTCCTATAGTACCACAAAAATCTGACGGAATAGGACAGTAGCAACATCAGGTATTGTGATTTTATATTTTTTTACTTTAGGGTTCTTTTTTCCGAAAATAATTTTGTCTGTCTATTCTTCATGATTTTACTTTGAGATCTGGTGTAATTTCAATCGTATTTTTGTTTTCTTGTTTCTATGTATACAATTATATTTTTAAGTTGGTCAAATCGATGGATGTAGTGGCGCGTTCTTTGTTTCGGGAGTAAGGTTTTTCAAAAGAGATGGTTCTTTCACTTAATTTTTCAAGGGTTCTTATACAAATTTTGCATTTTCGTTAATGAGTCTTTCTTTTCTTCTTCAAATTTAGTTTGCCTGAAGTTTAATTTTTCGTTACTGTTTCTGTGTGTACAATTCTATTTTCAAGTTGGTGGAATTTATGGACGTAGTTTTTCAGTCTTTCTTTGGTAAGATCTTTTTAAAAACATCCTCATTCCAGATATTTTTTCGTAAGTTTGTGTACAAATTTTGCAACGCTTCAATGACTCTTCGTTTTCTTCTTCAAATGTCTTTTGCCTGAAGTTTTTACATTCTTTGGTGTTCAATGTTTACTGCTTGTAGGCTTTTACTTTTCTTTTGGTCAATTGTTTATATTAAGTTATGCCTCTACATTTCTAATAAGAAGTTGTTTTTCCAGTTGTGTTTGCTCAATGTACTAACATATACCTTTCCTTAAAAGAGAGGATAGCATATACTGTTTATGCATTGTTCATTCTAGAAAGTCTCCTTTCCACACTCGACTGTTGAATTTCATCTCACACATGCAAGACTTTTGCCTTTGAGTCTCTCCCAATTCTTTGATCCCATAGTTTGCTCTCCATTTCCTAAGTCTTTTTACCTTTCCCAATTTTTTTCACATCTTGCCTCCTCAATTGTTATTGATGCCAATGTAAACTGTAAATATGTTCTTTTTCATTTCCGTACTATTAAGTTTAGCCTATTTCTCCATGTTTATATCACTTCCTTCTTGTGATATCGGGTATAGATTCTGAATGCTGTAGTCTTTGAATGTTTTTGCCTTCAGTGTTGCCTCCAGTGTTTCTTCGATTGACCTGTACCATGCTTCTGATTAATAGATCCCTACTAAGCTTCAAAACCTTAGTCTTTTTCCTCAACACCGAACACCGCTATCGATCTAAACGACAGCGATTTGGTGCCCATCCATGTTAAACGACACCGTCTCATACAGTCATACCTTCTATAAAGGAAAGTAAACTCCAACAATGAGCCATTTAGCCTCCACTTGACCCCCATTATTTAAAATTTTAATGTTTGGAATAATTTTTTTTGAAAAATGTGTGGTTGAAAAAAAATAAAATGTTTTGGAATTTTGTGTAATATTATTTTATTGGAGAATGTGTGGTTGATAAGAAGAGAGAAATGATTATAATTTTCTAGGAAGCACGGACACGTTGCCGGCGTCGGTCCGACACGTATCGGACACCAACACGTCTCCGACACGTCGCCGACGCGTGTCGGATTTCCTTGCGACGTGTAGGAGGGCTGGAAGAAAACGGTGAAGAAGAAGTAAAGAAAAAATGAAGAAGAGAGAGAAAAAAATGGTGTGATATTCCGGCAGCCGGTGGAAGAAAGAAGAAAAGATGAAGAAGTAGCTGGTGGAAGAAAAAGAAAAGAAGAAGAAAGAAGAGAGAGGACAGACATGTTTGCATTTTCCTTTGAATTTTGTACTTTTTGACCCAACACAATAAAAGCTTGTTTGACAGCATGGTCCTTCTTTTATGGACCATGCTACATTCACACAACCATTTACACAATGATTTACACGCTCGACACTTGGCCGCCCCCTATTGGAGGGGTGGCTGGTGGGGCTCCAATAGGGGGCGGCCAAGTGTCGAGTGTGTAAAAAATTGTGTAAATGGTTGTGTACAAATAGTTTTATCCTTCTTTTATACAGTAGTTGGACAAACACATTAAAGGCTGTCAGACACAAATGTACCGTACAGTCACTATAGTGTACAATTTTTATTTTTATTTTGATAGTATATATTACTTTTTTTTTTTTTTTTTAAATTTATTCTTTAACAAAGTAACATGCAAGATTTTATTCTTTTACCATTTCACCCTTTATGTAAAAAAAAATTATTTTAGATTATTAAATTAAAATAAGTTAAAATTAATATTTTAATCAACGTGTCGAAAACATATCGTGTCGGAACTTTTTTAAAAAATCCCGTGTCAACATGTCCGACACGTATCGTGTCGGACACTCGTGTCTGTGTCGGTGCTTCTTAGATAATTTTAATGGGGTGTCGGTGCTTCTTAGATAATTTTAATGGGGACCAAACATAGGCTTATTGTTGGTGACATTTGCTTCAACCCTAATTTCAGGCTTTCAGCTGTGTATTTGTGTTGTAGAGAACAGATCCAAATAATTTGCAAAAAATCATCCTGTAAATTAGGAATCGCAGCTTCATTTCACTGTTCTTTTGTATGTTTGTTAGATTTTCTTCAGATATACTCTGAATTGGGAGATTTTTTTTTCCCTCTTTCATTTCAAACCTTTCTTCAAGTTTCCAAAAGAAGCAACAAAAATTCGACTGAAATAGGAAACTGCGACCTCAGCATTTCAATTTCATAGATGCTTCATTTTAGGTTCATCTGTTTCTTCAGTTTATGTTTGTTTCTTTTTTCCAAATTATTTCTTCATCTCTTACTTTCTGATGATTTCAGTTTCGCATCCTGTGCATTTTCCTCTCATTCTTTCTTTCCCTATTTCTTTGTGTACAATTTCATATTTCTTGTTGGTGGATTTGACCGCCACTGTGTGGTTCCACTTCTTTGTAATTTCCCCAAGAGGCCGAAAAATCTTACTGAAATAGGATACAGGTAACTGCAGGTATGTTAATATCACATAATAGTTGCTAGATATAATTTTCTCCTCTTGCTTCAGCTTTCTGCTTTTTTTCCAATTCCAAAATTATTAGAAATCTGTTGATTTGTGATGACTTGAACTTCGAGTCTTTTGTACTTAAAACTCACTTCTTTTGTTTCCTACTTTTGTATGTAGAAATAATTAGAATTCTTGTATAGTGGAATACACAGTTGTGTTCGCACGATCTTTGTTGGGTAAGTTCTGTTCAAACATTGTTCTTCCGAGTATTGCATAACGAGTAACATACTCTCTTGGAAAAAGATTTAGGATACATCATATAGTAATGTTTGGAGATTGTCATAAATAGTATCTTTAATTGAATTCCGGAATAATATCTCATGTAAGTGTTACTGTGCAAAAGAAATGTTAGATATACCTATTGGGAACTAAAAATATATTCATCAATATGAAATGACTAAGTGGAATGATTCAATTGCTTATCTATTAGCCATCCGAACTTAGTTGTCTAGAATTCATGATTCATCTCATGTATTTTTTTAAAACCAGTTAAAAAAATTATGTATAAGAACTAACTTTTGAAGAGAGAGCAATAGAAATATTGGATGTAAAATAACAAGTACCGTACATGATCCCAACTGCGGTAGTACAAGTTCTATGTATACATCGAGCGACAGAAGGGAAAACATGGGAAAGTGAGAATGAAGTACATTCTGTGTATCGTCATTTCTTCAAAAATTCATTTGCATGTAGAAAAAGATTCCACAGTTTTATGCCATTGCATCCTTGTTTTTGTAGCTGGTAGTTTATAGTTTTCCTTTTATGTTTGATCTCCCTACAATTACTGAAACATATTTTCTCAGTTATTGTACGTCTTTTGGACAGAATTTGCATTCCTTGTGGAATTACAATGGTAATTGCTTTTTACCGATAAATTTTTTTGATATGAAACATTATTATGCATTTCTCTTATATTCGTACAATATTTGTCCTCTCTGGTTATTATTCAACTTCTTAGTTAAGATGACAGCTTCTCAACTCATTAAAGCCATTTCTCTCTATTCATATATACCTGTAAGCCCCTGTTTGAGCCCCATTCTTTCCACTAAAATACATTTTTAAACGTGAGTAACTAAGTAAATTTGAACATTTTATTCTTATTATTTTGTTCCTTGCTTTTACTTCAATGTATTGTCATTTTAACCTTTTTTTCATCTTTTCTTCTGTATAGAAAGATCATTTGACGATTAAATACTGTTATGAATAAATAAATATGTAAGATACTCTATGCTCTAACATGTACATTTACCAATCAATATTTATTCAATCAGTGCACATATTTTTCATTAATCTTTAATATTGAGGACGCTAACATTACTTTCAAAATAATCCAATCCGTGCATTGCACGGGGCAAAAACTAGTTTGAATTAAATATGTGATCCTCAGATAATGGTGAATATTTAGTTAAGCTCAATCTAAGTTATGATTCTTATGACTCCGTTTTCTTTCCATGGATTTGCAGTAATTGAGAATTCAATGATTGAAGCAATTTATGAATCAACGTAGTTAATAGTTGAACTCAAACTTTGTTTACGAATACACGCGCGCGCACCCCCCTTCTCTTTGCAATCTATAACATCAATTGTCGACATTGGCTCAACTCGCTCTACTTCCTCTTTTTCAAAGTTCTCTCTCTCTCACCTATCTCTAGCTTAATCTTTATCTCTATCTCAGTTTTAGCATCTAATGCCTCTGATTCATCCCTCATAGGCACTGTTTCCACTCTTGTATCAGCCATTGGCACCAATTTTTTTGCCACTAGCACCAATTTTTCTGTCTCATTTTCACGATCATCCAATAAAATTCTTGAACCATCATTATTTTGGGATTCCTCCTCAATATACACTTCCTCCCCGGTATTTTCAGCAAACCTCTTACATAACTCTTCAGAGAACATTTCCCAATCTGCTTTAGAATGGCTTGTAATGAATCCATAAAATTTCGAATATTATCAGGAGTTTGAAGGAGTTGGAAATATTTCATGGCTTTCTTTAGCCATTACCTAGGGCCTGCTCCCCCAAAAAGTGGAAAATCCATCTTATGTAGCCGGATATTTCCTTTAAGCCCACTTGTTGGATTTAACACTATTCTCATTACTATTAGTTCCTGGCATATATAACCTACTCTCACTATGCTCAACACCAACATCTTCACATTTAGTAGAAGCATCTAATGGATTATGAATATGCCCAGGCCACAACCACTGACTCCTAATTTTACCTCAAACAAGATATTCTACATGGAATCCGTTCTCTTGACTAACCAAATTTCTTTCATTCGTTACTTTTTCATTAGGAGCAACCATAATTTCACTATTCCCATTAACAACACACTTCGTAATTATAGCAACTGAATCATCTTCTTTGTTCAAATCGTAAGAACTGAAATGTTTTAACAGTTTCTCTTCCGGTTCAGAACAGGAACCCTAGTTCCCTTCCAGTTTAGAATCTGAATCGTCCATTTGCTTTTCAGAAGACTCGACTATTTCTGGGTAATGGTTGGACGGATCTTTGGAGGCTGATTTATGCTCAATAAATTCAGTTATCATTGAAATTAGTAGATCATGCTTCCTATTAATTTCTTCCATTATGCCATCCAATCATGAGAAACCCAGGGATTGTAGCTGCTCTGATACCATTTGTTCTGGTTGGAGCTGAACTTCAACCAAAAGTAGCTAAATTCTACTCAAAATCAATACACAGTTTAAGATACTAAGTAGGGATGTAATAACCCATCTGAGATTTCATCATTTGACTAAAATTACACAGAAACAATGTAATGTAAATTTTATTCCATTGATTAATAAGTTTATTACAATGTAGGGATTATAAGTAAAAGACAAATACAAAAAAGAAGAGATAGATCAATGGAGGAGTAGAGATAGAGAAGTGAAGACGGATTCAGAGAAGGAAGAAGAGAGCAAGAAGAACAGAAAAAGCCGAAGAAGGGGAGAAGCGGAACCGAGAAGGAGAAATAGGGAAGAAGAAGAAGAAGAAGAAGAAGAAGAAGAGGCTTACGAAAAAGGAGAAATGCAAAAAATAGAGAAGAAAAAAAAGAACACGAGAGAGGAGGAGAAGACGATTTTGGGCAACAAAGCCACGATTCAATTCCACAATACTTATCATCTTCAAAGCAAAACCATATATGGAACAAAATGAACCTAAAATTGGGTTAGCCTACTAGGAAAAAAGTCCAATTAGATAAAATAACAATAATGTAGTTAACCAATAACAATAATGTAGAGAACCATGACAGTGGACCGTTATGGACACTCTCATGTACATGTAACATAACTCTTGTACTTTTAGATATGTTTGTAGACACATATTTGACTATCCGAGTTACCTTCAATTAGGTCAAAATTAAAATCGTTCAAAGATATCCGAGTTACATCTTACATTTTTAAGACCATTTTCCAACTATTTATAGGTCTATATAGTTGCGAATTTTAACAATACATATTCAATTGAGATTGGACAAGAAATCTATTCACTTCCTTGCCTTCAAGTTGGTGGTTGTGATCACTAAGAATACTTGTGATCTAGGTTTCGAGCTAACTATCTAGGAGCCCAAAATCCATGAAAGCCAAGAGGAAAATTCAAATTTCTTGGAACTTCAAATCTTGCAACAAGTACATTCTTCTCTCCCATAAGTTTGGAATCCAAAATAACCAAATAGCACCTTTGGGTTGAAACTGCATACTGCAAAATCAAGTACAAAATTCTGTTAAAATCTGCAGCTCCATAAATCACAAACTCCATGTTATTCATGTATTCTCACCTCTACTACGAGAAGATAGCCATCGTCTTCTTCTCTGCCTTTCGGGATAAAAATTGGTTCACCGATGAATCTTCGCCTACGAGTAGACCAAGTACTGTGCAAGGACTTGTCTTTGGTGTTCAGCTTTACTACTGTATCAAATGGAAAATTTGGCAAAGCTTGGCGCAAACCAGAAGTAGTTGCTGCATAAACATAAGTATTTTTTCCACCACAAAAATCTTGATTGATTGTAGGGAAATCTGTTGCTTTATTCCATTGATTCAGATCATTTACACAACACTTCTTGCAATTCCCATTTTGCTCCAAATTTATAGACACCTGGATTATATAACCAGATGGAAATTAAATATTATCTTCAAATAGTTTATTAAAAGCTTACAAATGAATAAAGAAGAGAGAGAGAGAGAGAGAGAGAGAGAGAGGAAAACCTTGATTAGGTGTGGTAATAACTTTTCTTGCCCTTGTTTAAGATTCATCATAGAAGGATCTAACTTTCCGCTCCGCCAATCATATCCTACAAGAAAAATAAAAATAAAATTTGTTCACACTAAGATGGTGGGTGTTACATAAGATTGGAAATCTCTCGAAAGGCTGGCTTATTTACCAAACATTTTCTGGAAATTGAACCATTGATAAGAGCAACCACTGGCTTGAATTTGAATCTCAACATTTCCATTCTCATATTTTTCTTCAAAAGCATTTCCCACATGGAGTACCCATAACTGAGAAGGAGCTTCAATGGGAATTCTCCAATCTCTCATTTCTTTAGTTTTCAATCTGGGAAGCAAATATATAGGAGATGTGGGCTTGCTTGGATTGACTGTTAATGCAGATATCATTGGTGATAAACCGCAGACTGCTGACATTGATCCTGCAATTCAAATCCCAATATGTACAATTTTGTAAAAACTTGATCAATATGAAAAATTTTGTAAAAACTCGACCAATGAAGTGTGACCAATTCAATTGAAAAAATCGAGAATTGGACAACAGGGTTTGATTACCTGCAATGTCTAGCTTAATACGGTTACCAAACAATATGTAATGAGAATCGGTGAAGGCCCAATCATGGATCATTAGGTGATCCGAGATGATGAATTCTTGGCTTTGCAACAACTTAAAATTTGAATCAAATTCTGAAATTAATCAGGGAAAAGGAAACAGACCATTATACTTTACCAAACTCAAATTATTATAATAATAATATTTGTAATATTGAAAATATACTAACCGTAAAATGTAAAATTACTACGAGGGAGTAACATGTCTTCTGCATTACATGACATGATCAAAAGTCTTCCTCTTCGGGCATCAATCTTGTAATGGGACAACAATCTCTTGGGTGGCATGTTGAATACTCCTAACAAAATTGATCCAACGTTATAATTTATCAAAGACTGCAACAAGTGGGTTGCTTTAATTTGTGCATAATAATTTATTATAAGGTGTGCGTCAATGTCACAACTAGTATTGGGGACAATTTAACAATTTTTACATTTCTAGTGTGACGTTATTAAGATCTGAATAACTTAGACATGGGATAGGTTTGGTGGGACTAATGTGTTACACGAAAATTTTTTTTTTTTTTTTTTTTTTTTTTTAAAGATACTAATCAATCTAACAATTCAATTGTTTTCTAAGTAACATGTAACATGCTATTAGAAAAATGGTCACATAACTTGAGACTAGGATCAGAAAGTTTTCAATGTATAATACAAATATATATTCAATAATATAATATGATTTATGCTTACCATATAATATTGGCTTTAATATTTCTGCAGCAACATCCCAAACATCAACCTTAAATCCTCTGTCATCGGAATTTTTTTTCCGATCATCCTTAATAACATCGAACTTTCCGACAGTATCCAACGTCCTAGTTTCAATTTCATAAGGGTCACCACCTTCCCACAAACAAAATAACCTACCACCCCACCTTAACACACTAGTATTTGCAACATTTTTCATTACCTTAGTATTCCCAACCATTTTCCCACCTTTCAAAATAGAAAATGGTCCTCGGTGAGTGAACCGCCACTCTCCCGTCACCGGGTCACGTTCTTCGGATTGTGCCTCTGTCTGAATGTACCTAGCCGTGAACTTGACTTGCCCTTTTGATCCATCAATGGTGAATGCTCTTAGATAGCCATGACCATCCAGAGGGTGCACCGTCGAGCCATGATCGTCGGAGAATAACCCCGGTCCGGTGAGATAATACGTTCCAGATGGAAAATCAAGCGGTATTTCGCCCTCGACTAGCCGGAGGTTGATCGGTTCAGCGGCTTCTGCACGTTGTGAAACAAAAAGAAATTGGTAGTCCCAAAAGGCAGTCACAGTATCATCTACATCTACGATTGGAACTTCATGAGTTGGTGGTGGTGGTGCAATGATTGATATAGCTCGTGGAACATTACTAGGTATTGAAATGTTGTACTTTCCCGGTAGAGGTAGCTTCGCCAACTGTTGAAGTTTTGGTGGGATTGTACTATGATAAGTTTTGGCCTGCATTTTTTGGGCTCTTCCTCTGAAGGGTGGTGGTGCAGGTGATACCAAAGGAGGCATGAACGTATAATATATAGAATGATTTTGTGTTATAGAATGATTTTGTGAAGACTAATTAAGTGGCACTTGCATATGTTAAATAATTAATTATAGAAAATGGTAAATTTATCAAAGACTGCAACAAGTGGGTTGCTTTAATTTGTGCATAATAATTTATTATAAGGTGTGCGTCAATGTCACAACTAGTATTGGGGACAATTTAACAACTTGTTGCTTTAATTTGTGCATAATAATTTATTATAAGGTGTGCGTCAATGTCACAACTAGTATTGGGGACAATTTAACAATTTTTACATTTCTAGTGTGACGTTATTAAGATCTGAATAACTTAGACATGGGATAGGTTTGGTGGGACTAATGTGTTACACGAAAATTGTTCTATTCTTTTTTTTTTTTTTTTAAAGATACTAATCAATCTAACAATTCAATTGTTTTCTAAGTAACATGTAACATGCTATTCGAAAAATGGTCACATAACTTGAGACTAGGATCAGAAAGTTTTCAATGTGTAATACAAATATATATTCAATAATATAATATGATTTATGCTTACCATATAATATTGGCTTTAATATTTCTGCAGCAACATCCCAAACATCAACCTTAAATCCTCTGTCATCGGAATTTTTTTTCCGATCATCCTTAATAACATCGAACTTTCCGACAGTATCCAACGTCCTAGTTTCAATTTCATAAGGGTCACCACCTTCCCACAAACAAAATAACCTACCACCCCACCTTAACACACTAGTATTTGCAACATTTTTCATTACCTTAGTATTCCCAACCATTTTCCCACCTTTCAAAATAGAAAATGGTCCTCGGTGAGTGAACCGCCACTCTCCCGTCACCGGGTCACATTCTTCGGATTGTGCCTCTGTTTGAATGTACCTAGCCGTGAACTTGACTTGCCCTTTTGATCCATCAATGGTGAATGCTCTTAGATAGCCATGACCATCTAGAGGGTGCACAGTCGAGCCATGATCGTCGGAGAATAACCCCGGTCCGGTGAGATAATACGTTCCGGATGGAAAATCAAGCGGTATTTCGCCCTCGACTAGCCGGAGGTTGATCGGTTCAGCGGCTTCTGCACGTTGTGAAACAAAAAGAAATTGGTAGTCCCAAAAGGCAGTCACAGTATCATCTACATCCACGATTGGAACTTCATGAGTTGATGGTGGTGGCGCAATGATTGATATGGCTCGTGGAACATTACTAGGTATTGAAATGTTGTACTTTCCCGGTGGAGGTAGCTTCGCCAACTGTGGAAGTTTTGGTGGGATTGTACTATGATAAGTTTTGGCTTGCATTTTTTTGGGCTCTTCCTCTGAAGGGTGGTGGTGGAGGTGATACCAAAGGAGGCATGAACGTATAATATATAGAATGATTTTGTGTTATACAATGATTTTGTGAAGACTAATTAAGTGGCACTTGCATATGTTAAATAATTAATTATATAAAATGGTGCAATAAACAATTAATTAATGATTATAAGTTTGATACCTTGAAGTGTTGTTGGCATTGATACTGTCAACAAAATGACAAACAAGGAGTCCCCACTTACCTTCCGTGGCCGTCTAATGAGGAATCTGCCGATTTCATTCTCAATTATGCCATTGAGGACACTTCCAAAACGTACTGAGTTAGACCAAATGCATGGGAATTTTTCAATTTTGGGAAGTGGGTGGCCCGACAGATCCACATGGGGTCATGTACATTGTTTGGTGACGATTACAATTAAACAAACCTTGTTGGTTGGTGTAGTTACCAAGTTTGAATTATGGATTTCACATCAGAGACAGTTTTTAGGACAAATCTACGTTAATCTTTTCTAGTATTTTTTTAGTTAGTATTTTTTAAATTTATTTTCAACCACCCTCTATTAATAAAATAATGTTGTATGTAAATTCTAAATCTTGTGCCTGCTTTTTAACAATATATTGTCCAAAAAAATTACAGTCAACAAAATTCTATTTAAAAAAATCAAGATCAAATCAATCTTAAAATAAGAAAATTTCCGAGTGTAATAAACAAATGTCTGTAATATTGTATTTGTTACGAATACATCCTAGGCATCGATAAAAGTATCTCACGAGAGCGATTATATTATGTCCCTATTTGATGGTGATTATATTAGGCCTTTTTTTTATCATCCAAAATATATTTTTCTTTCTCCTCTTTTCAATCACACATTTTAAAAAAAATAACCATACATTTGTTATCAATTTATTATTTCAAAATGCATTCTTAGCCCATAAATGGGGCTCAAACTAACAATAAATTTTTAATAGATTTTAATAAAAGTTAATGAAATGTATGATTGATAAGTTGTGAATCACATAAAATCTATCGTTAAAATATTTTATAGACACTACTCCGATAATTTTGAAATGTTGGAAACTTCATCTAAATTAAATGTATTATTTGGGGACTAAATTGAAACATACATCCAATATTTCCTCCAATACATGTAAACGAGTTAGTAATGTAGGAGTACTTTTGGGAAGGAGCTCTTTGGAACATGTTAATACTTGATCTTTTGGAGAAAGAATCTACTTAGATGTAGCGATTATGAGTTTTACGGGCAATCAGTGAGACTGTCACCCTTGTACATCCGGTAGCTAATATTCTGTCCTTGTAGAAAAGCCAGTACAACAGCAAGTCCTAAAAGCACAAAAGTTACTGCTTTTATCCGTCAAATGCCATGATTTTTCATTTCTGTGACTGGTTTGCCTACAGATGGGACTGGGGAAGACTTTGCAAGCTCTCTCTCTCTCTCTCAAGTTATCTAAAAGCATGTCTAACGACTCCTGGACCATTTTGTGAGTAATAGCATTTTTTCTTGATTATATGCACTTACTAAAAGTTGGGAATTTTCAAAGCACGCCCATATAAAGGGTGTGGCCATATAGAGTGAATAGCCCAAACGGTCACTAAACTTTGCACCAAGTCACAAAAGGTCACTGAACTTTTAAAATTGTCTAACTCATCACTGAACTTTGCGAAAAGTCCACCAAAGGTCACTGAACTTTCAAAATCGCCTCACTCATCACTGAACTTTGCATTTTGTATTCTCATTAGTCACTCAGCTAACGATCCATCCAAAAACTAATCGAATACTCATGTGGTTGGCTGATGTGGATGCCAAGTCAAACAAAAGAAGTACAGGTGGATTTTTATTTGAATTAAAACATGTTTTATAAAAATAAAAAAATTGGAAATTCCATAAACTGTTGTAGCAACAGTCACCACCGTAAACATGTTTCATTTATTTTTATTTTTATTATTATTATTTTTTTAATAAAACATGTTTTAATTTAAATAAAAATTCACGTGTACTTCTTTTGTTTGACTTGGCATCCACATCAGTCAGCCACGTGAGTATTCGGTTAGTTTTTGGATGGACCGTTAGCTAAGTGACTAATGAGATTACAAAATGCAAAGTTCAGTGATGAGTGAGACGATTTTGAAAGTTCAGTGACCTTTGGTGGACTTTTTGCAAAGTTCAGTGATAAGTTAGACAATTTTGAAAGTTCAGTGACCTTTTGCGGATCTGGTGTAAAGTTTAGTGACCATTTGGGCTATTCACTCGGCCATATATCAGAAAGTTACAAAATTACATGCTGCTATTTTTATGGGGTAACAAATAACATATTCTGTTATGTCTATTTAATTTACTGATTTCAAGTACGTGACATGTAAATGGTAATAACACCTCTTATACATGGTGCATTTTTCAGTTTTCCATTCCAGATATATGGAATGTGAAAGTGGAATTTGTGAAAGTGGAATTCCCCTAAAAATCTTTTAGGTGATTATAGGATTCTTATATAGTGGGTACCATATGCAGTGGTGTTATGTCCTTTAAGTGTGATTGATGGCTGGGGGACCAAGGTAGCAAATTCTGCTCCAATATAGTGTATTGGTTGTTTGATTCACTAATTTTTGGGTCAAATTCCATAAACCTTGTTGTTTGGAACTTTCATGGGTTTGAATCAATTTCATTGCAGTTTCGTTAGGGTTCGTTGCTAGCGGGTTCGCATCACCTCTGCATTCCCAACCATTTTCCCACCTTTCAAAATAGAAAACGGTCCCCGATGAGTGAAACACCACTTTCCGGTCTCCGGATCACGTTCCTCGGATTGCCTCTCGATTTGAATGTACCTAGCCATGAACTTAACTTGCCCTTTTGATCCATCAATGGTGAATGCTCTTAGATAGCCATGACCAGCTAGAGGATGCACAGTCGAGCCATGATTGCCAAAGAAGAGCCCTGGTCCGGTGAGATAATACTTTCACGATGGAAAATCACGCGGTATTTTGCCCTTGAGTAGCCGGAGATCAATTGGTTTAGCTGCTTCTGTACGTTGTGAAACAAAAGAAATTGGTAGTCCCAAAAGGCAGTCACAGTGTCATCTACATCTACGATTGGAACTTCATGAATTGGTGGTGGTGGAACAGTGATTGATATGGCTCGTGCAACATTACTGGGTATTGAAATGTTGCACTTTCCTGGCGGAGGTAGCTTCGTCGACTGTGGAAGTTTTGGTGGGATTGTACTATGATAAGTTCAAGCCTGCATTATTATTATTATTATTATTAATATTATTATTTTGGCTCTTCCTCTGAAGGGTGGTGGTGGAGGTGATACCAAAGAAGGCATGAACGTATTATATATAAATATATGAGCCACCAATTTAAAATAATTTATACAGAGAAATGGAGCGAGCTCCGCAAATAAAAAGTTATCGTAATACTTTAAAATAATCAACATTTTTTAACACTTGTCACCAAATTAAACGGCCATTAGTTAAAGCAGCTACAATTAATCATCATCTTATAGAATGATTTTGTGAAGACTAATTAAGTGGCACTTACATATGTCAAATAATTAATTATATATGATGGTACAATAAACAATTAATTAATGATTATAAGTTTGATGCGTTGAAGTGTCGTCAGCATTGATGTCAACAAAATTACAAACAAGGAGACCCCACCTACCCTACCATGGCCGTCTAATGAGGTATCTGACGATTTCATTCTCAATTATGCCATTGAGGACACTTCCAAAACATACTGAATTAGACCAAATGGTTGGGAATTTTTCAATTTTCGGAAGTGGGTGGGGATGGTGTCTAATCAATGTTGCTTGAATTGTGATGATCTTCTAAGTGGTGGTAATGGGACTACATAGTTTCAGGGTTTCAAAAAACTATAATCGCTGGGTAATTTGATATGATGTACCGTAATTTTTATCGAGTAAATAATAAATACGAGTAGGTAGATGCTCTTAAATGATGAAACTGACCCTTGCATCAAAACGCATGGAACAATTTTTCAAGTTCGTATACATTTTCCTAATACTAAATTAAAGGGTATTCTATTTAAGATTCCTCGTCTCAAATGATTTTTTCCATTTGGGGCTTGTCGGGGTGGAGGGTTGCATCTTCTATAATTTAATGAATGTAGCTCCAATCATGTGGACCTTCAACTTGTGGCAGTGAGGCCACTACATGGTTTTAGGGTTTTGAAGGACCACCACTTGGGAGACAAAGTACATTGTTTGGTGACGATTACAATTAAACAAACCTTGTTGGTTGGTGTAGTTGACAAAGTATGAATTATGGATTTCACACCAGAGACATTTTTTAGGAAAAATCTACGTGAACCTTTTCTAGTATTTTTTTAGTTAGTATTCTTTAAATTTATTTTCAACCACCTTTAACAAATAAAATAATGTTATATGTAAATTCTAAATTTAGTTAATTGTTCCAATCATCAATGAGCTTAAGTCCATGTTTCTGATTTATCACTAAAGTTTAAAATGTCAAGTTTTGGTCAATGAACTTAGGTCAATGTCTTTGATTACTCACTGAACTTAGATCCATGTCTTGTAGATTGCTCATTGAAGTGTAAAGGGAAAATTGCAATAGAAATCCCAAACCTTTGAAACATTAACAGACTTTTCCCAAACTTTTGATTTGTTGCAGCCGTCACCCCTAACATTTCCAAACGTTGCAGGTGAAGCCATGTTAGCTTTAGCACCAGCATCGAGCAACGGAACTACCGTCGACAGTGGTGCGTTCTGGATGCTCCCATTCACCTCAGATAACAACGGCCAGGGGTCGATTGTGGCACCCACACCCGAGACAAACCCCAAGATGTGGCAATTTTCGGGTAGGAACAGTCTATAAACGCCATTACATTTCATGCTGAGGTTCAATTATTCTGGGAATCTTGAATTTCAAGGAGGAAGATCGAGTCCATTGCAATTGGGATCGATGTTAATGCACAACAGCAAACGATATCTCAATATCTTGGATTAAATGTGTCAAGAGAGACGAATTTGGGGATGTTAGAGGCGCTTAATGCTTACTCCAAAGGGAGTTTGAATATGAATTCAAATCAATTTGAACATCATCAACAGCAGAAGCAACCTCAAACCCTTGGTCGGTGTGGAATTTAGGGGTGGGGATGGGGATGGGGATGGGGTTGGGGTTGGGGTTGGGGTGGGAGGAAGAAGTTAATTTAATTATTATTTAATGTGATAAATGAAAATTTACTCTTTCATCCCTTTTTACAATATTAAAAATGTGGTTAAAATTAAAATTTTGGTCAACTAACAGAATTGTGGATGGAAACCGTCCAAAAGGGCTTCACTTGCAATTTTTGAAAAGGTTTGGGGTAACGACTGCAACAAATCAAAGGTTTGAAAAAAGTCTGCTAATATTTCAAAAGTTTGGGGCTTATGCTGTAATTTTCCCAAGTTTAAAAATGTCGAATTTTGGCTACGGAACTTTGAAATATGCCGTACGTTACTCACTAGCATAACTGT